GGCCCCCAGGGGGGCCCCCTTGGGGGGCCCCTTTGGGGGCCCCTCGAGAGGCCCCTTGGGGACCCCGAGGGGCCCCTAAGAGAAGCTGAGAAGGACTTGGAAAAAGTAATAGGACTATTTGCTCTTATTGCTGGAAAAGATGCTTTTGAGGTGATTTGTGTAAACCCTAAACCCTAAACCCTAGCGTGAACCCGAGTGCTGGGCGCTGGTTCCAAACCCTAGCTCTAAACCCTCGTCGTAAACCCTAATCGGCCACAAACCCTCACTGCAGAGGCTAAACCCTAATTGTGAAAGTTGCAGGCTATTTGGCTCACAAAACCCTCGTAGGCGCAAACCCTAAACCCTAAACCCTAGTCCGAAAGCTGTAGCCCCTGCCTTAAACCCTAGACCCTAGGTGCAAGCGCTTTCCCTAAACCCTAGCCCTGAACCCTAGCTCTAAACCCTTGTTCTAAACCCTCGCCCGCAACCCGGTCCCCTTAAACCCTCATGCGGTAGTCGGGCAAGCTGGGGTATGAAACCCTAAACCCTAGCCCTGAACCCTAAACCCTAGCTGTGAACCGTAAACGCTCGTTGCTGCTGCTGCTGCTGCTGCGTGGTCTTGAGGTGTATGTGCACCTGAAGGCTGCTTTTTTTTTTGCGTTTGTTTGAGGTGTACGTACACCTCACTTTCTGCTGCTGCTGCTGCTGCTGCTGCTGCTGCTGCTGCTGCTGGGAGGTGTACGTACACCCCATTTGCTGCTGCATGCGCTGCAGCAATTTTACCGAATTGACCTTTCGAGGCGTTTGCTGCTGATGGGGCTTTCCAACGAAACCCTCGAAAAAACCTTCATGCAGAGGCTCCGAGACGGTAAGCCCCAAACCCTAAACCCTAAACCCTAAACCCTAGCCGCGCGCACCTCGAGTCTTGAGCTCCCCGTCCCCGCGTACGCGAAACTGACCCCAAGTTAGGGTTTAGGGCTTGAGGTTTGGGGTTTAGAGTTAGGGTTTAGGGTTTAGAGTTTGAGGTTTAGGTTGGGCTTTAGGGTTTAGGGTTTAGGGTTTAGGGTTTAGGTCGCATGCAGCTGCAGTGCATGCGTTGTTGTTTGAGGTGTATGTACACCTCAGAATGCGGGCCCCAATACACCAGCAAGATAGAGGCGATGTTAAATGATATAAAACTTTCCGAAAGTCTCATGCAAAAGATGAAAGAAGTGGGTCCCAAACCCTAAACCCTAAACCCTAAACGCTAGGACGCCGGCGCAAGCGTTCGGGCTTCTTCTGCGTGCTAACGCCTACGCCCAGCGCGAGCCCTAAACCCTAAACCCTAAACCCTAAACCCTTAATCCTAAACCCTGCTTGAGATAACCAGCACCTCTGACTCCATTTCTACTTTTTTTATTTTCTCTACCTCTGCCCCTTTAAACTCGAGACCCAGAGTGCAAACCCTAGCTTGAAACCCTAAACCCTAAACCCTAAACCCTAATCCGTAGAGTCTCCGTTGCCTTTTACTGCTGCGCTTCGCGCCTCTGGGAATTGTCCGGGCATTGTTTACCTGCATCACTAGGGTTTGAGGTTTAGGGTTTAGGGTTTAGGGTTTAGGGTTTTGTGTGGCTGCTCAGGACCCAACTTGTTCTTCAGTTTTGATTCAAACTGGTTGTTCTCTTTCTGTTCGTTTATGTTCAACTGGAATGTGGCCTCCCTTCCCGGGTGTATCGACAGCTCCAGGTGTATCCGCAGCTTCGGGTGTATCCGCAGCTTCGGGTGTATCCGCAGCTTCGGGTGTATCGGTAGCTCCAGGTGTATCGGCAGCTTCGGGTGTATCGGCAGCTTCGGGTGTATCGGCAGCTCCGGGTGTACCTGCAGCTCTGGATCCTTTTGGAACTTTGCGGAATTTATTTGAAAATTATTTTAAAAGAAATTCAACTGGAAAGAAAATTAAATGGGTTCCGGAAATGGGTTGCTGCGAGCTGCGGGCGCGGCTGGGAGCAGCAGAAGCAGCAGCAGCAGCAGCAGGGGTGCGGGTTTTGAGTTTTGTTTTTATCTTTCAATTTGTTCATTTAATTTAAAATCTGTATCTTCATTTTTGATTTTAAATTAATTACTTAGGTCCTTTAGATTCATCAAAGAACGGCTTCTTGCTTTCGCCCGCTGCGCAAGCGCCGCGCCTGCAAAACCCTAAACCCTAAACCCTAAACCCTAGAGCACGGCATATTATTAATTTTTGCCTCTTATTTTATGTAGTTTTGCCTCCTTTGTGTTACTTTTGTCTCATTTGATTGATTTTTGTTTCTTTATCTTTATTTCCTTCATTTAATTTTGTTTCTTTTCATTTATTTCCATGTCTTCTTTTTAAATCATTTCTCTGCTGCTGCTGCTGCTGCTGCTGCTGCTGCAGGCGCCCCACAGCATGAACGTGGACGGGGACATTTCTTTATCTTTTTCTCCTTTTTATCATTTGGTGGTTTCTGAATTACAAACAATTTGTCTTCTTCAATTTAACTCCAAAGAAACCCTCACTTTG